TCTGACCAGTTTCTGTGCAACGTCGTGTGAAATTGTGAGGCGCAAATTAAGTTTTTGTTTGGAATTTGTGTAGGATTAACCAACAGATTTCCCCCGTGTGATAACGTCCTAAGTATTGTCCTCCAGCACCCACTTTAAATATCCATTTCTAGCCTGCAGGCAGAAAATGAGGTAATATCTGCAATCCAAATTGTAAATACAATCCCTTGTGATAAATCACTTAATTTGAATAGAATAAAATTGTCCCTCTATTACAATGATAAAGTCCCTAGTCTCTGGAGTAGCAGAAAACAAATTCCCATTGTCGGAGAAAGGCAGGTTGTAAATCCTTGAAATACACACGTGAAAAACCACATGTGGAGAGACACACATTTGTTCATTTCCACATCACATTTTTCTGGCATACGCCTAAGATGTGGAAGTGTAAGGAAGCTCTTTGTGGATGATCTGTTATCATCTTGGCCTCAGAGAGAGAGAAGAATCGCTAGACCAGATCCCTTTCATCACTGCCATTCCCTTCTCCATTTGGGTCATGTCTTTTTAGACTGTAAGCCTGAGGGTCTAACTAACCATTTGTAAACCACTCTGAGAGCCTTTGTGGCTGAACAGCAGGGTAGAAATACTCCAAATAAATAAAATGAAATAAATAAATCAGTTGTTAAGTGAAGCACACATTCAATACACATGAGATGTTGCCTCCTTTGCAGTGCAGCTAGCTGCATCCAAAGTGATGTGCTTAGAAGCATTTCTCTTCAATGCACCACTTGCCTTGCCCTCTGCTTTTGACTCACTTTGGCTTTGTACAGCATAACATCCCCTGGGCAATTCCCCATTACAGCAGCTCTCAGCCTTGTCAGATATTAGTAGCTTGACAGACAGACATGAAAACGTGGTGGATAGGAATCCCTTGCTTCAGAAAGATAGTCTGGCTGCAGGGAGAAAAATCAGATTGACGGTGTGCTCCTTTTAGAAATAATTTTAAACCCAGGAGGTAATAATCCTAGTACCGGAGAGAAGGAACATCCCTTGTGTAGTCAGAAATGATGTTCAATAAATCAGAAAACAATTTTGAGGTTGCAAGACACTGCTAAGAGGAAGTGATCAGTTTGCCATTTTTTCCTTTGAAGGAAAAAAAAATGTTTGCTTGCTTGTTGATTTAATATCCCACCTAATATTCTCCCAACATGGGACCCAAGGTGGCTTAACACCAAAACAGAGCTAAAAATATGACAATGACAAAGTCCAAACACAATTGAACAAGCTATCATGTTAAAATAACATTGATTTTAGAAGTTATTAAAAACATAAGGACTGGATGAGGGAAAACAAACTCAAACTGAATCCAGACAAGACGGAGATACTTGCTATAGGGACCCCCAACCCAGAAATGGAGATATGTCAGCCAGTTCTGGATGGGGTCACACCTCCCCTGAAGGACTGTCCGCAGTCTAGGGGTGCTCCTAGATTCGCCGTTGCACCTGACCACTCAGATGCATGCAGCAGTCAGGAGCACCTATCATCAGCTTCAGCTGATTCGCCAGCTGCAACCCTTCCTGGAGCCAGGCGACCTAGAAACAGTGGTACACGTACTGGTAACCTCTCGACTTGACTTCTGCAATGCGCTCTACATGGGGCT